GTAAACAGTATTAAATTTTACCAATATAAACACTGATGCTATATTTATACTGAACAGTTGACAAACTTGATTGAATAGGCCACAATTAGCTCGTAAACAATACCTGCAGCTGTTGTATTTATTCCAAATGATGCAACAAAGTTCACTTTTCAAAATACCAAAAAATAACTTTTTTTCCAAAAAAAAATTATTGAATGTCCATACTAATTCATCAGGAAACACTTGGCCAGTATTATATAGCCTTTTCTTGCACATATCTTGACAACTGATTGAAAACAATACAGGAATGAACAGGTAACAAGAAAACAAAATTTGCTTTGAAAAAGACAAACAAGCCATCCCCGAAGTGAAAACCCCGAAGTGAACGTGAGGTGCATACGTCATTTTCACGTCCTCTTGACGTCAGCATCTTGTTATCTAAAACCGTCTATTGTCGTGCTTCGGTAGCACTGAGTGTTTCGGTATTGCTGGAAGATGTTTCAAGAAGTTCACATTGAACGATAGCATGGTTTTCTAAAAGAGTAATCTTCTAAATTTCAACATTTAGCTTCGCGCGAATGGCTGGTGATGTCGAAAACATATTTCCTACGAGATAGGATTTGTATTTATCCAGGCATTTCTTTATTGCCCATCCAACCGATGTACTGGACTTTCCTTTGGCCCTCTGCACTCATATCATACACATCAAACTCCACCGACGACACTGATTCTGCTTCACCTCGTTCACAAGTAAGTTTGACCAGTTTTCTGAGAAACAATTGGTAAAGACAAAGAAGAACGGATGCTGACAAACTTCTTTGTCCATCGTCGATTTCGCTCCCGTTTGTAACACCAAAAGCGCTAACAACATTACTTCTATACTCGTGAGTGAGAAACAATTGATGAAGTTTCCCTGTAGCCCAAGTAAATTCTCTGTTTGTAATGTGCAAATCGTCACAATTTTTGGATAGATGATCTTCAAACAACGCAGATACCCAACACCAAAGTATTCCACTCAGTAGGCGAAATAGGTCTAAATTTACCTGGGCGTATGATGCTGCAGACTGAAGGGACTGTCTGTAAGAATCGTGTGAAGGATCATCGACGATCTTTTTCAGGAATAAGTCGATGTGAAACGTTGATGGTGGTTCGGACAGTTCGTCGCTAAAATCAGACATGCATAGCAGGACATCTTCCGAATTTACAGAGCTTCCCTCAATTGCTTTGAAAGCCTTTCTCGCAATGGCAACAAAGTCTTCTATATATTGTTATTCACTTCAGTTTAGCTGATCGGCAGATAACTTTGACCTCACATGAAGAATTATAGATATCATGCTCAGCCTTGCTGCCCCTACTTAAAAATAGTCGTTGTCAAAACAGTTGCTGGTGTTAAATTTCCCTGCATGAGCTCCACCTTTGAATTTACTATATAAATAATTTTTTAAACACGTCCGAATCACTAATATGAAATATGACTGGATAAAGCATCCTATTGAATTCAGTAGTCCGATTTTGAAGCCAGAATATTTTAATAAGATGAGATTTATAAATCAGTCAAATTCATGACTGGTCTAATCGTTTGCTGTTTAAGTTCACTTAGACTATAAAGCAAATGTCATCGCCTAATGTGACTTGTGAAATATAGCTCCAAAACCTTTTCGAAATAGTTTTCGAACGTTTTATACACCACCTAATGAGGCTGATGGTGGCCATATTTGATGCCCCCATTAGTTATTCACTGGCAGATTTAGGGGGGAAAAGAGGCTACTGATAAAAAATTCTTATCTAGGCAATATTTGTCCTTTCCCACTAGTGACTAGAAACGTAAAGGAAGAGTTAAACATGTCCACAACACCAGATTGGAGTAACAGTGGGACATCCAATATGGCCGCCATTGGCTTCACTTATGCACAGCAGATGCTTTATCCAGTCTTATTTCAGATCAGTGGTCCGAATCATGATAAATTCGCGACACATTTTTGAATTTATCATAATGATAAATTTGTGGCATCTATAGTCCCCAACACTAACCCCTAACCCTGACCTAACTTTTTTAAAACTTTTATAAAATCTTGAGTCCTCCTTGCGAAGGTTTGTACAGGACTATAAAAGAAGCTTTAATGCTGATATAGAGTTATATAAAACGCTCGTAAAACTGTGTGAATGTTACGAAAGTATATCTAAATAGTATAAAAATAGTTCAGTTTGCACCCCTGGTACTTATAGATACTGGTTACGTCAAATAGAGAGATAATGAGCATTTTTGCTGTAAAACGCAGATAAAGTATATATCATTTCGGACTTATGTAAAAGTGTAAATTATCTGTCCATTAGGCAAGATAAATAATTTGTCAAACTGTCAAAGTTGGACGATAACCTTGCATGGTGGGCTGTTGTGTTTACATAATTCAAAGTCCAAGGCTGGTTCTTCTCTGACATGAAAATGTGCAATGCTTAGGGCCTTTCTGTCAATCATTCTTCGGTATATTTCGCGCGGTTGAGAAATAATAACATTACGTCATCAAAATTGTAAGTGAATTTAGTTTAGTAGCTAAAGTAAGGTTCACATAGGTATAGTTTGAAGTTTTTAGTATGATATTTTGATAAGTATTTTAAGTTGTGAACATGTTTTAATGATGATCGATTGAACAGCGAACCAACTCGACCAGTGCGACAACGCCTTAAATAAACAGAATTGGAGGGCTGGAACGAGCTAGCAACGCCAACCCACACTTTTAAACCTCAACGTTGATTGACTGGATACAAATCACACCACTTGCTACATCATGTGTACAAAGATCCCTCTCAACCGTTAGTATAAAAGGGCGTGCACAACCGAAATTCGTCAGTGGACTCAACGAAGTAAAAATTATGTATGAAAAGTTGCCGTAACAGTGGACTATCAAGAAGAGAACTTTGAAGCAGAACTATTAACATTAGTAACAATAATTACAAAAGTTGTATAATGATTCACTGCCTAAATAAAGCCTTGTAACATGAAATACTCGCCCTTCAGACAATAGAGATACATTTTCTTTATGTTGTTCATGTGTCACACCAAGACTAATATATAGGTCTCATTCTATTTAATGACGACGATTTATCGGGAATAATGGAATATATACATGCTATATAATGTCATATTTAACAAATATAAAACATTTTCCATGTTGATATATACAGTTTTAGTATTCTTGCACAAGTGAACTTAATAAATCCTACAACCTGATTGATCAAATGTGACGTTTTAAGCTGTTATATTCACCTACAGGTGAATATATCAAAATGGTGGCTAGCGGTTTTGTGGAAGTTTACTGATAAAGAAATAAGCGAAATTAAAATAAATTCAGTACCAAATAACACAAAAGACTTGCGTAAAAATACTAAAACAGTTATTCACGTCGGGCTCGGTGATAATCGGAGAATATTCACCTTGACTTCATCTCGGTGAATATTCCCCGATAATCACCTCAGCTTTGGCTTTGGCGAATAATTGTTAAATATCAATATGAGTCGAAATTGGGAAAACGAGAAATTGTGTGGAAACACGACGCCCGAAGGGAGGAGTGTTTTCACATTTTTCACGAGTGTTGATATAACTGTATATCAATACGAAAAATTTTTAACCTCATTCACGAGTAAGTTTGACCAGTTTTCTGAGAAACAATTGGTAATGAACGAGTTTATTGAGACAATGGCTGCTAAATTTGAAGTCTTAACATCTGATGTTCACAATTTAAAAACTGAGAAATTTGATTTGTTGGCTGCTGAAATTGATGACTTAAAAAGTAAAGACTCCTATGCTATTGGCGATGAGCTAAAGAGTGAAATTAATCGACTTAAACTCGAAAATACTTCGCTTCTTGAGAGAAACCTCAATCTGTTATGCACTGTCTCAGATTTTAATACCAAAATTAAGGATTTAGAGAATGACAAAATGAGCCTAATGACAGCCATTAAGTTACTCCAGGTTGATGTTAATGTTCAAGGGGAAACCACAGGATCTTGGACAGAAATCAGAAGTAATAAGAAGGCTGAATCCAAACATCCAACGGACAGTTCGAATGCAAGTAGATCTTCGGTAATCACTGTTGACGATTTGTTCGATGATAAACCTAAAGGCCCCTCGGCGAGAGTTAATACAAACAGGTTTTCCCTACTTAGCGTGGAAGGAACAGACACCAGTGCCAATGAGGTAAGAAATTCAAATGTGAATGTTATTACGCCAAATACATCCGATGATAGACCCAGAAAGAATGATCAAAGACAAAAGGGCAGGGGTGATGGTTTTCAAGGCAATATATCCGCTGAGAGATCGAGAAAGAATGATCAAAGACAAATGAACAGGGGTCATGGTTTTCAAGATAATACATCCGATGATAGACCGAGAAAGAACGAACTAAGACAAAAGGATAGAAAAACTGTTATTATCACCGGCGACTCAATGATTCAATTCAACATGGTTGGGAAATGTCAAATACAAAAGTCAGCGTTGCCGTTAAGTCGTTTTCTGGTGCTAAAATTGATGACATAATGATTTTCTACAACCTATTATACGAAGGTCACCCGATGAAATAATTCTCCATATTGGCACGAACAATATCAAAGGAAATGACTCGCCTGAAGTTCTCGCTGCAGGTATTTCTAGATTAGCATCAATGATAACCAAGAAATCACCTAATACTAAAGTGACTATCTCTGGTTTAATAGTTAGAAAGGGCCTAAATTTAAAATCGAAGATAAAGTCTGTAAACAAGTTGTTGAAATCAACTTGCATGGCTAATAACTGGCCCTTTATTGACAATTCAAATCTAGATGAAATCTGTCTAAACCTTAAAGGTTTACACCTAAATCGGAAAGGAACGAGTTACCTTAGCAGTAACTTTTCTAATTATATATGATATTCGAATCCTTTATTGATAAACTTGATAGTGAAGGTAAAGGAATTATTGTGGTTGGTGACTTAAACTGCAATATGTTACATTCGTTGAATTCGGCATCCAAAAAACTAAATGACTTTTTGAATGTCTATCAACTTTCCCAATTAATCGTTAAACCTACTCATGTAACTCAAACCACAAGCTCCTTATCGGATGTCTGTATCTCCTCACTCCCTGAGAAAATTATATATTCGGATGTATTTCCAATCGGAATCAGCGATCACAACTTAATATTTGTTGTTCGCAAAATTAATGTGCAACAAAGGGTGAGAGCCCATCAGACTGTTGAAATTAGAAATTTTAAACATTTCAATCCCAGCAGATTTCAAGAAGATCTTTTATCTCAGCCATGGGATCTTTTAGACAGTGAGGATGACGTAGACTCTAAATGGTGTTTGTGGAAAACTTTGTTTCTGGCAGTTCTTGATGTGCATGCCCCTCTTAGGATGAAAAGAGTAAGAACCCAAAGTAATATCCCTTGGTTGAATAAAAATTCTAAAAAATTAATGTTTGAAACGGATAAACTTAAGAGGAGATTTTTTAAAAAGTCGCGTATTTTTTCGCGAAAAAATAATGCGCCGCCATCTTGGTTTTAAAAGTTTCCCAAAATTTGCGAAGACAAATAACAGAATTTTACTAAATTTTTGTCTATGTTACGAGCCAAAACATTGCCAAATATAAAGACAGATGACATGGTAAGTGTAATGTCGTAT